TCCAGTTCACTAACTAACAGAGGAGGGTTAAATCACATATTTGTTACATTTGAGATCTAAGTGAAACTAATAAGCGTTAAAAAAAGAATTGCAGAGATGGAGGATAGTTTATTGAGACCATCACATATTTTTATTGTTTGCATGAAGCTATATGCAGTTAAGCAGTGGAAATGCACAGATGAGCACATAAATAGACTCAATTTATTTTTCTCTCTCATTAACTGAACACTGATTAAAAGTTTAGGGTGTAAAACTTAGAAAACAGTACAATATGATTAAATCTGATCTGTCTGAACAGCAAGGCTTAGCAGAGGTAGTTTAATAGTATAATGAAAATAAATTATACACAAAGAACATGTACAGTACTCACCTGGTGATTCAGGTTCAGGTCCCACACTTAGGTTGTCCTGTATTTAAAAAAACAAAACAAAACAGTAAAGATAAGGATGAAAGAAAAAACTCCCACAGGTGTTCTTGTTTCACTGCACACAGTTAAAATTGAAATTAATAATGTTAATGAAGGTAAATCCTCTCAATCTGCCAAAAAAAAGAAAAAAAGAAAGAAATCAACACAAAGACGTGACGTGCAAGCACAAACTCATTTCTTTTTAATGTCAGCTTGTCATTTAAAACCTCTCTAGATGGTGTGTTTATTGAAATGACAGATGAGTAAATGGGCATAAAAATGCATATCAAATGGACATGAGAACAGGACAAGAAAGTGCAATTAATACACATGACTGTGTACATTTCTTTAGTTTTAAAGGTCATAATGGTTATGTTTGCCACATTTTTTTTTACTTTTGCAAATAATCTGAATGACCCTACAACTCAAAGGTTACCAATATCAGGACCTTTGTTGAGTCATTAAACAATGTGCTAAAGCTAGAGGTGGCTTCAGGCTTTTGTGCTGACTTAAACACACCTTTGCTGATTAGTAATCACAGACATCTACAATAACAGGCTGACATCAGCCAGGTTTACAGTCACTATCTATGCAAATTAGAGATCATCTCTGAGGTTACCATACCACTGGTCTCACTGGAGGCACAGACAGGTAGGTGTTAGGGTGGGGCTTAGTTAGTGTGTGTTTATTAGAGATTATTATTGAAGTACTGCCTGTCGCAAACCTATGTATTCCTCACTAAAGAGACTTTTTTTTGCACAGGCTTGGAATAAAAATGTTCTGCAACTCATAAAATACAAGTCAAAAAGTACCTTTGGCTTATTTGGGTGGCTTCGGCTTGGACTTTGGGCAGGTGCCGTGCCTTCAGGCCCAAATATGTTGCTGGTTGGTCCACCTGGTGGCATGGGTCTCTGTGGTTGAGCAGCAGGCTCAGGTTCACCAAATATTCCACTACTCTTTCCACCTAAAAAAGATTAACAAACATACCTTATAGTGACGCAATCTTCTAAAATAATTCAGCAATGGTAAAAAAAAAATAAAAAAATCTCTGTGTCCATTTCATAAAGAGTCACTCTTCTGTGCCAGATGTAGCACATACCCAGTTTAGTTTTGCGTACTGTGTGCACTTGCTAAATGGCAAGAATGTTCTGACCATTTCAGAGAAAAATATTTATGACCATCAGGGCAATCAAGTACCCTGAACTGTAAATAAACCCAGCTATACCAGAGTAATATGAACAGGTGTATTATGTGCAGCCAACACAGAGAACAGCCAACATGTTTACAGTGGAAATATAACATTGTAGTAATAGTTGTCACACTCTGAACATGGATTTGCAGAGACAGAAAAGCCAAAGCATCAGCCACCAGCAGGTTAATCTCACCTGGAGGATTGGAGCGTTTCGGTGCACTCTGGGCTTCCTCTGGTGGAGCAAAAACTTTGGAGGCCATCTTATTGGGTCTTTTTGATGCTGCAGAATCCTCTTCATAGCCACCAAACAGATTGCTGGAGCCACCTCCAGGAGGCTGCAACACCCTACAGATTAACATACAAGTTAAATAAACAGAATGCGGATTCATGTTTACCGTCTACTGTTACTGTCATGTCTTACATTCAAAGACTTGTAGGAAACGTTAAGTAACCGGGCTATAAATATGTTAGCTGGGTCAACTGAGCTAAATAACAGGTTACTTGATTATAGACCCGGGAATGGCGCCATATACGCATGGAAACCATTGTCTGCTATAGATTATATCAGACAGACGCTTTACTTTTTTTCGTTATTGAAAGTTTGATCAGTCTACTTAGGGGAGTTGATCCGGAAACTGGTGCTTTCGAGATTAAAAAAAAAAAAGCACCCGAACCTCTTGCTTTAAGGAAAGTGTGACCATAACGCCTCTGTTGGCGGATACAAAGAAGAGCCTTCCGAGGAGCATTTCACACTTCCGCAGGCGCAGTAGACAACGCCTGAATGGCTAGCTCGAAAGCTATCATGACTAACAAGTTTGCTAACTCAAACCACTGCAGCTCCACTTAAGCGTAAACTGAGATATTTAAGCTTTCTGGGAGCACTGCGTGTTTGAGATATGCTTAAAGAAATTAGTGGAAGAAAAAAAACCCTACGAGGTTCTGACAGGCAACGTTATACTAAATTCTGGGCTGCTAACTGTCCGAGCTCCTGGCTGCAGTCGGAATAAAACATTACTGGCGGCTCTTATTCGCACATAACCAAGCCGCGCAGCTGTTGTCTTTACCTTGAACTCGGTTTCGAACCACTATCCAACCCTTGAAACATGTTAGTCGAAGTCATGGTGGCTCTGTTTTGACCCTTCAAGTTTCCAAAGACAACTTCTTCGTCAGTTTGCCAACTGGACGACGAGCGAGTTCCCCCTCTGCCTGCGCGTGCCCGGCTCAACTCCGTAGTGAAGAATTTCGAGCCCACCCAACTATGACACAGAGGAATATAACTGGTCCTCTGCCAAGCTGAGGTGCGCTCGTTTCACTGCACCCAGACTCCCATTACAAGTGAAAGACTTTGGAGAAGCAACTGTGCATTGTTCCCGGAACAGCACTGAGGCTATAGTTTTCTTATTTAAATATGATTTACACGGCTGTTTAATTATTGCAATAGGTTATACACATCTTCTACAAAAGCAGGAAAGTTTCGCCTTGTGAGTCTCAAAAACGCTTTAAACAGTAGTAGACATGGACTAATTTCCACGTGTGCGCTTGTTTTATTCTTAAACAGCTAAGTCTGAGATGATGATATCAACTCAAAACGTAGTGCTCAACACAGTTAATGTTTTGTTTCAGTTCTTCTTAGACATGTGGGGTTTTTTATACTCCAATACAAAATTCAAGCGCATCCTGAGTTCCGCCTACTGAATTGTTCGTCAAAATGTCAATCATTTTTTGGGCGGAACTTGTCTTACAGGACCAGAAATGTTAATTGCAGTGATAAACTATTGTTAAAACAAACAAACAAAAATTTAATAGCTAAACAAAAAGGTTAGATTATATATTACCCAGAGTCGCTTAAAATGTTTAGTGTACTAGTCGGTAAACTTGGCGAGGCGTGACAGGAAGAGAATGACAATTGGTCTTTCGTTGTTAACTCTTCCACTAACAGTTGGCGGAGGTTTCTGTCAATCAAACTTTAACCGCCGACCTCGTGGTTTTTTAGCCAATCACAGTCTTTGTTTTTGTATAGTAATGGGCGTGTCTGCGCGCGCTGACAACGGAGCAGCTGGAGCTGTCATCGGTAGCAAGCTGGAGGTCTACAGTCAGCTAGCAATGCTAAACTGTGTCTCGTTTGGGAATACTACCAGCAATCTCCTGCTTTAGGTAAGCTCAGTAATATTTACCAATTCAACAACATGTTTTGGACTCTGTACAAAATAGCCGTTATGCTAGGAGCAGTTTTATAACGTAAAATCTTGTTTGGCTTGTTATACTGTTAATGTTAGCTAGCCAACAACAGCAGCCATGCTGGACATAGTAGCGGGCTATCCACGGAAGAAATATTTGACTACATTTAATATATTTTGCTACATCTACTTACTAGCAACTGCTTGTAAACACCTCAAATTATTACACCACTGCACTTCCAAATACACGTGAAGCTTCCGATATAATATTATACTCGTGATGAGACTATTACAGCTGCTAAGTAGTTTTTAATGTAACACTGCTGTGGGACGCGAGTAATGTCATTTAGTGAAGTAAAAACAGAACCGCGGTGTTTCAGTGTAAGTGTGTTCGAGTCAACTCAGATTGCACTGAAAGAATATGATAAAACAGAATAAGTGACAGCTATAGCTGTCCATCACTTGAAGTTTAAAGATCTAATTAAGCTCAATTGAAACATTAAATAGCTGAAGCAATTATCTAAGGCTTTCATAAATTATTAATTCGTCTCAATTTGTGCCAGAATTGCCTGATAATCAGCTGTATGCTGACACGAACTGAGAGATTTAAATGCTGTGTGGCAAAAGAAGACATTCGTGATGTTTCCCCATACTAAAGCTGCCCAGGTCTGATTTTTTTTTTTTTGTCGTCCTTAAGCACTGGACACCCCCTCTCCTGATTATTCAGCAAGCATAAAATTAAGTTGTGGAAAAACAGTAGAGCACATAGGATAAGAAACTCTGCAGTGTTTACACATTTTAACACAAGTGCAGCACCCCTTCTACTCCTCCAGCTCCTTCTACTCCTTCTACTCAACGTGTACTTAAAGCCACGTCCTGATTTTCCTCATGTGCCATCGTCGTGTGTATTTATGAGGGGCTGTAGTATTGCTGGCAATTAATAACATTACCATGGCAAAGGTTTGAGCATAAAATGATTTCTTTTGCAGGCACAATTTCTGCTTATGATGACGTAGTGTGAAGCGAAGTCCACTCACAGCTTAATAAAACTATCCCTGCTTATATCAATTCAAATGAGCTCAACCGACACGGGTTTTTTGTAAATTATTATCCATCAAAATGCAGTTAAATATCTCGTATTTGCGGCTGGTTTTGTGTCATTTATGTCTCGTTGCATGGAAAGCATTGAGTAATGTTGTTGCTGATAGAAGAGACAGTTGAACTGCGCAGAGAGTTCAGCTCAGTCGAATCAGGAGCAAGGAGAGGGCATAAAAGCGGAGCGATCGCTCTCGGCTTTATTATGCTCAATTTGACCACTAATTGCCAGTCTAACCGCTCGGACCCATGGTGAAGAGAAAGAAGACATCGTCTACTACAGAGGAGCACCAAAATGGGTAAAATTAGGTTTGAAATAAACACTTTATTTAGAGGTCGAAGGCACCGAGGGGGTTTTCGTTGTCGTTTCTGCAGGGCGCTAAACTGAAAAGCGGTCGCTTTTGAATTCAGTTTAAATTAAATCGTTATTATTGGCCATTAGAGCGGAAAGCTACTCGGAAAAGCATCGCTGCCAGTCTTCTAACTGCTTCAGCTGTTAAATCTAATTTATCTCAAGGCATGAAATGCATATATTTGGTGTTGTTTTGACGGGACTGAAGAGGGGATTTGAAACAAACAGCGGCGGCCATGTTGAGAGACAGTGAACGTCGTCTTTAGAAGTTAATTTTGCTCATCGCTTTGCTCCTAATGTGACAAATTTTGTGTAATTGTGTTGTGGCAGCATGACACCGGGCTCCAGGGAGGGGATCGGTGTCGATGGGAGGAGGAATCCGTCCAGAAAGCCCGACGGTTGCGACGAAGAGGAGAACGGAGAGCAGGCGAGCGAGGAGCGCAGTACAAAGGGAGAGGACGGAGTGGAAATTCTTAATCCATCAACCACGGGTCTCAGCTCCGGTTCAGCCCCGGTCCTTCCTGCTTCTGCTCCGAACCGAACCGGACCAGGCTCGACCCAGCCTCCTCAGACATCAGCTGAGCCCGGCCCTCCGGGCCCCGACCAGCATCATTTTCTCCGATCAAGCGTTCGACCTCCGAGCAAACGGATACGGAAGGATTCAATCGGCTCCTCCATCAATGGACATGGCGGGGCAAAATCGAAAGGTAAGTGAGTGACCAGCTCGGGAAAGAGTGTGTACAGGTGGGATCAGGAGAGATTGGGGGCTGCGCTGTCAGTTTTAGTTTTCTCTGTCGGTGCTTGCAGTGTGCTTGTCTGTGATGCCGTTGTGTTGCCGTGTATCCCCTGTGGGCCACTTGCTGGGTTGTTCTCTGGGTACATTTTTGGCTGCTCCAGCCCATGTTGCAACACCATCCTGCACACCACTTATGCGGGAAAAAAAGAAGCAAAAAAACAGGAGAGGCCAGAAGTTAGATTTTAATTAAGATGTCGCTTGATTTTTGCAGTTTCTTGGAAACTGGCAGCAATAACAATAAAGGCACGGTGTTGTTATCAGCAGGAGGAATAAATCACAGGCTTAAAATGGACCTGATATCAGAACAGGAAAGGGACATTACTGAACAGGGTTGCTTACAGTTCTTTTGTCTTTTTTCTTATTATTTTCTTTTGGGACTATATAGGAAATTGGACAAGAATGGTATTGCAGTTTTCAGCCAATCATTTCATTGACCCACAGATTTAGCCTAGGCTACCTTTGTTTTTTTTTTACCCCCCCCTCACAACAAATACCAGTAAAGCAGAGGTTGTAATTTACTTGCCATTATTCAGTTTTGATTTTGCAAATAATCTGAATGAGCCTTTGTAGTAACTCAGAGGGTGACCGATATCAGGAACTTTCTGAACAATAAATCAAAGCTAGAGATGACTTAAGGCTTTCAGGATGACTTTTAAACACAATGAAGGATTCCCTTGTAGGCTACCAATCACTAATAGTATTGTATTTGCTAAGTGTGAGCTGGTTGGTGTCAGTTTATCTATGCAGACGAGGCATTACCTCCTGGGTTTCCACACTACCTGTCCCTCTGGAGGCACAGACAGCTTTGGGTGGGGCTGAGACTTAGTAAGGTGGTGGTGGTCTTTGAGTTTGTTAATGAGGCTATGCCACCCAGTAATCTGTGTGTTCCTCATTGAAAAGTGGAATTTATTTGGAAAAATATTTCAGTACATTATACATCTGTGATTTTAATTTGTACATTTTTCCTTTTAAAATTGCTTTGTCCACAAAACAGCAGCCATTGATCAGATCAGAAACAATATTATTTACTTGTGTATCCTTTGACAGGTATGACTGGTGGATTTTTGTTGTTTGAAACAGAAAAGCTCTGATTGTCTCAGAAACTATATTTAGATTGAGCACAAACGTTTGACCGTCTGACCAAGAAAGCCTCACTTATTTTTATGTGATGCTATATCGGTGCACTTCTATTTTGAAGGCGACACATCTAGGTTATTGTCTGTGAGCCAGTCACATGCTTGTGTTTGTAAATTAACACCTATTTGGGCTAAAAAAATAATAAAAAAAATAAAGAAAAAAGTGCTTAATGTAGCACAGTACTGCAACAGCAACTCTCTGGGTGCTCCTGCTAATGTCTCATGGCGTTGTGCGCAGTGCTGGGCCAGAAAACTTGGCCAGTGGAGCCCACCATGAGTTGGTTTTGGAACTGTGTAATGTAGACCTGACCATAGGGACTGATTGCTTTTCCTGTCTCCTTGCCAGAGCTTAACCACAGAGAGGGAAGCTCTGCAGGTTCTGTGCGCTGTAATGGCAGTGGGTGGCTTTGTGTGCATGTATTTTAACATCTTGCAAATCACACACCTCAGATCAACCTTTTTTTGTTATGACATACAAAACAGCCAGGGTGGTGAGCTGATATTTAAGTTGTGCCTTTCCTCTGAATGTTTCTGTGTTAAAACAGGGGCAGAGAATGGCTCCTCTTCCCAGGGTGTGGTGGGACAGACCGGGCCTGTGGTCAGCGCCACGGGGGGAGTATCCAAGACCTCCAAGGGCCAAGGGTCTACAGAGAAGGAAGAACAAGCTGGTAACCAGAAAAGAGCCCGTCGGCAGTGGGAATCCTGGAGCGCCGAGGACAAAAACAGCTTTTTTGAGGGTCTTTATGAGGTAAAGCTTGCAACAACCTTTTACCAAGTTAAAAGTTTACCATGTGTAGATCTTTTGACGTCGTAGATTCACGACTGCCCTCCTTTGTTCCCAGCACGGGAAGGATTTTGAGGCCATCCAGAACAACATTGCAATGAAGTACAAGAAGAGAGGCAAGCCAGCAAATATGGTGAAGAACAAGGAACAGGTCCGCCACTTTTACTACCGAACTTGGCACAAGATCTCCAAACACATCGACTTCGCTAACGGTGAGTTGCTTTTTTTTTTCTCTTTTTTTTGTTAAACACAGAAAACATGTGGAACACGTGGGGTGAATAAATGAATTCACCTTGGAATTTTTGATCCCCAAATATGAAGTTTGTACACTGTAATGACTTTATCGAATGACACCTCATAAAAATGTGTACAATTCATACAACAAGGTGATCTCTTAGGCTGATCTTAATTGGTTTATTTTAGGTTTGTGTTTAGTTGTTTCCGTTATGCTACTTACTGCAGACACTGTGAATGAGAAGTAAAGAAGAGATACTGTCAAACAGCCACATATATTATTATTTTTTCTTACAACAGAACTCACACTGACATTTTGGTTTTTTAGCAAGCAAAACGTATGTTAAAGAAGCTCACCAGATAAGCTGGAGCTCTTTTCCCCTACAAAAAGCACCCAGTGTTACTCTTATGTTATCTTTATGTAGCACGCACAGGCCTCCACCAGTGTTGTGACTTGTGCTTCCTTTCCTTCTCAGTGTACTCCAGGGTGTTAAAGAAATCTTCTCAAGAACTGTACGGCCTCATCTGCTACGCCGAGCTTCGCAAAAAAGTTGGAGGATGTAAGTGAGGCCTGTGAAAGCACTTGGATGCAGCGTAGACTGCGTGTGTTTTGCTGTTTTGTTCTGCTGGTTGAGGACACAGGGGATGTGATTAAACTCCAGATGATCCCTGTGGCTCGGGGCAGTTGCCCCTGAGGAGCATGTCTTAACTAGCTGTCTTGTGTTTTGTCTTTGACAGTGATGGATGATAAGAATGTGGCAAAGCTGAACGAACTCATCCAGCAAGGGTAAGTCTGTGGAAGAAGCTTTGGTTAGTGGGTTTACATGCACACATCTGGGATTGTGACACGTTAAACTGATGCACTAGATCACATTTGGAAAGATGCAGATTAGCACTTTGCTAGTATGAAAAACAAATCTGAGGGCTGAGTTGACAGTATGTAGTCAGATGCTTTCTCTGTGGCACGGCAAGGTTTAGAGCTTACAACATATTTGAAGAAAGATTCTTCTGTTCCACCAGGGCCACCACCGTGCGCTCTAAGGGGAGGAACCTGCGGATCAAAGCTCCAATGTGCAGAGCGTTGAAGAAACTTTGTGATCCAGATGGTGAGTATGAGCCTGCAGAAACCCTGCACACGCGTTACAGAACAAGCACTGAAAACCTCACCGATGGTGAGACTGGGGGGTTCACGGGGGCGGGGCTTTTACAAAAACCATGGCATCAAGTGGGCTGGTGGTGTTTCCATGGTAACTTTGGGTGCAAAGTGAGGAGGATGAAGGAGATGACTGTTCTGACCAGCTGTCATCAACCCCTCTGCTCAATAACACCCACTCATCACACTTACTGAAAATATTTGCTTTAATCAAGGGTAGAAAAAGACTGTCTCTTGTCATTGTTGTATGTAAATCTGTGAATGGATCCCACTGAGATTGATGACTGCCTTTTCATTTTGTCGTGATTAATTAAGTGAGAGAGCATAGTTGAGTTTACAGGTTTTGGGCTTTTCATATAGTGGCTGAATCTGTAATTTTGTGTCCTGCAGGAGTGAGTGATGAAGAGGACCAGAAGCCGGTGCGTCTGCCCTTGAAGGTGGCAGTGGAGCTCCAACCACGCAGTAACCACTCCTGGGCCCGAGTTCAGAGTCTTGCCCACAACCCTCG